GCTTTTTGAATAGTAAGCAAAAAATGTATTTTTTAACAGAATTCAGAAATTGTATGGTGCTTTTTTGTTTGATTCTTTGTTTTTGCCACGATAATACGGCGTGTTTAGAGTACTAAAGTTCGATCCGAGAATTAAATCTCTGTCAGTCACACACTGAGAAAAGAGAAAAGAACTAAATTAAAAGTAGTCCGCGTGAAATTCTTGAAGGCAATCATTTGCTCCATAAAGTTCGGTCATTGAATTAATTCATCGAGCTCGATCTAAAGGGGTGACGGTCAAGCTACTCGAAAGTGATGTCGTTTGAAGTTATGTCGTCCAAAACCTGATAATATGAGTTTTGTCGCCCAAAATTCAAAGAAAAGTCGCCCGCAATCCTCCCTCATTCTACAGTGTTTTTAGCTTACAGATTCTTGTTTTTTTCGTCCTGTGAAGAACGAGATATAGTACACGTTTACAGCGCTTGATTCGTCTTAGCATAGCGCTTCGTTCGTCAGAGGCACCTGACGGCGATTTCCTCCTAAATGCATCCTAGCATCCTAGGACAACCTCAGTCTTTTCGAAATTACAAGGGCTTCAGCATTATTTTCCCGAAAAATTTAGCTTCCAATTGAAAGTTTTAGGAAAGTGAGAATTTTATCGTATTTTCGGTTCCGAAAATTTTAGGATTCTTTAATTCTCTACGAAAAATAGCTTAACTGGGGAATGAAATGGAAAAAATTAAACTTCAGAAAATCGTAAGGAATTTACTAGATAACCTTCGAAAATTGTACATGCATGGAACGGTCATCTAGAAATGTTTAGCCTTCCTCAACCTATAGAAAATTCTAGGCAGTTTTTGTTTCTCCGATTTAATTACCTTCGTTCGTCTCAGCATGGCTTAAAGAAATATATTAAACTAATTTATTCAACTTCATTTCTCTGTGCATTACTGCTAATAAATATTCCGGTGGCATAACTATAATTTTCAGGCGACATAACTTCAGTGCCTCGCATGCGATAGCAGGCCTCTTTGCGATTCCGGTCATTAGCCGACAGCCGGGGGAATTGGTTTACACTGATCTCGCATTAATTCCAGGCTAGACCACAATTAAGTCGTGATTTTCAAATGGCCACGGTTACTATCAAATTCCAAAACAGTCTCAACTGGTATATTTGATTCACTTCGACCAGTTATCAATGCTGATTAAATCCGCTGAAAACCCAAGCCATTTTTATCATCTTAGCGGTTTTAGTAATCAAGCGTGTTCAGCGTGTCTTACCCAAATTGCACGCTAACCGTGCTATAATTCGCGCACTTACCGTGACATATGGCACCCTACAAAAAAACAAAAGGTCTAGCGTGTTAAATTTGCCAAAACAAAGGCAAGTGTGTCCGTCTTTGTTTTTTCAATTTAATATGCGCATATCCGTGATCTACGGCACGCTAAGCGTGTCGTGCAAGCGTGTCGTGCGCGTGCTTTCACCTTTAGCATCAAATTCCTGTGGAGGGTCACATATAAGAACCGGGGCTTATTTTCGGAATTTTACGGTATGTCACGTTTCGAGATAAATAACTGGGTAAGAAAGAAAATAAAACAAATGTCCGGAGGTGAGACTTGTCCGAGAATGAAAACATCAGCTAAGCAGATTTCGTTTGGGGTCTGAAAACCCAAATTTTTCGACAAAGGTAGGATTATTTTTTCGACCATTTAACGGTGTTTTGTAGCTAATCTTAAAACAAAGTGTCTTAGCCCCTTCTTGGCCATATTGCGTCGGATTTTTGGTCTACAACAAGGGTCGCGCCTAGGACTTGCCACCAGTGTTACCATTCGGTGTTAATATTGGTCTTAAGGTCTAAACATGCATACAGACTTAAATCCTTTCTTAAAGCTACTCTAGATTAAATGGGAGATTTAAATGGGAGTGCCTCTGATCCCATTAGCAGACTAACTGCTTTATGTGCATACCTTTTCTACTCTTATTTATTTCTTTCGCAAATCACCATCATTTTCCCCGGAAAAAACAACCAGAATGCCCCCTTAACAAGCGACTTTCAAGGACCCTCCTATACTAATAAGCCCAGACAACCAAGCTGGCTCGGTTTCCTAGATCTCGACACATTCAGTTCGATGTATAGCCAACTTCTGTAAAGTATTAGTCACAGGTGTGATAAGTTAGCGCACATAGAATGTTTATAACCGGTTAATGATATTTACTGTTTCTTATGGAGCCTATTTGCCAAACGCAATCGATCGTGGAACTGCGTTTCAGTTCAGTGAAGATCAAACAGCTACGCCGGTTTGGAAGGTTTTATCTTTTACGTGCCTCAACGTCGAAAAGACGCCCTAAACGAATGCAGCTGTCTCTAATTGTTGGAATTGCCTTCGGCTCCTGATTGATTTCATATTTGCTGATTTCCGGATGATCCGGATTTCCGCATTTCCGATTTCCCTATTTCCGGGTTTCAACATTTCCGGTTTACGTGTCAACCTGCATTTGACCTTGCAGAGCCGGTTGAATAGAAGGTTTATTCGAGGTTGTAGCTCTGAAATCTCAATTTTCTGATCCAAAATGAGACTTGCCTAGTTGATTTTCTGATTCTCGAGCAAACTTTCACCTCTGAACGGTTGTTTTACCGAGCTATTTAGCTCGAAACGTGACACAGTTTCACCTGTTTTGAGCGTCGGATTGTTAGCATGGGATTCAACAATGGCCGCATACCAGCAGTTTCTAAAGCACATTTACTGGAATTTTATGGAGTCCGGCATCTCAGGGATTGGAATATGGCTCAATTTGTGAGTCAGTGCCAGTAATGAATTAGGTAAGCCGTACTTTTGACGAAATATGCTTGAGGTAGATCCGTTACGCTAAATCTGAAAATATCGTATTAGCTCGCATACGAGTTGATACAAACGGTCATAACTTTTAAAATACTGAAATCGTACATGGGGTTTTGTATATTATTAATAACAGATGGTCTATCTTTGCGTCTATTTAGTCTAGAGCTTTCAACTATGTCCCAAAAGTCAGAAATAAGCTTTTAAAACAGGGTCATTTTTGGCCTTTTGCTCCAAGGCAATTAGTTGGGGTCATATTTTGCATGATTTCGTCTTTCCAGCTAAATTTAGCGGAGAACTATTACTTTCAGGAAAAACTAGAGATGTTTACCTATAAATAGGTATAAAACTCATTGATAGATGGTGCAAATCAAACATTTTACAGCGCCGCAAAAAGTGCCAAATTTTCAGTTTCAAGACGTGCAAAATGGCCGTGGCGGGACAAAATACTCGGCGCCCCCCAGCGCGGCCAGAAAATTATTGTGAATCAAAGCAAACCTATTTTAGTTATAGTCTCGATAAAGCCTTTCACTCACCAGAGTTTCAGGCAAAATTATTTTTCACGCGAAATTGAATGGGCGGTTTTTACTGAGACAGCCTCTTATTTCCGATCAACACATTTTTCTTCACGATCTTACAGCTTTGTACTTAACGCCTTTCTTTAAAGCACACGTTATTATTTTTTTTAAAATGAGATTTCGACCGCGCGTGTAATTGAGATGTGCTTAATATACCTGGATATCATTGATTTTGTATACATGTATATCATATTGCACTTGTACATACTTTTTTAAAATTTCAATCCTTTTATGCACTTCAGTAATAATAACAAAAATGATGGAAAAAAACAGCTGGGAATAAAAACCTTGAGAGGTAGACAACATTACTATAAAAATTCCACATTATCTGCTAAAATGGATCGTGCTCTTTCCAACAGTCATATTCTCTTTATAATCGAAAAACTAATTTAAGATAATGCAATGTTTTCATAAAGAAAGACAATCACTTTTTACAATCGAAAAAAAAAAAGCCTAATTGCGACCTCAACCTGGAGAAGTCGGAAGCCGAAAACAAGTCGACACTTACTTTTACATGGTTTCATGAAATCCCGTGTGACAACCGTGAACATGGTATCAATCTGTATATGCGGGTTGTTCAAACTAAACATAATCACAAAAAAACTCCCCCTTAATTAGAGAGTTGGAGGAAATTGTAGAAGATAATTGAGTGAAAGGTCAACTCGGACGATCGATTTGACTGTATTCGAAATCATATTTGATATTAGAAAAACTTAATCTAGGCCGGCACCTGTGCCGCGAATTGTTGCAAGTAATCACACCTAATTATACGTTCCTCATTCTTTTTGTATTCTTAAATTCAACTTAATAATATAGCGCTATAATTATTATTTTTCAATTATGAATCTTTTTTTAGTTTCCCCAGTAAGCTTTACAACATAATACTCAGACACTCAAGTATTTAAAGTTCATTCACTCAAACATGTAACAATACTCCCATTTGCGTAATTATGGGCAGCTTTCACGGTTTTTCTTGTATTATATGTTATTTGTTCTTTACACTGCCGTTTCATCAACGGCGAGTATTTAATTTTGACCGTGAATAATTAAGATGCGTTTAGTTTCCTTAATATCCGATCGAGTTTGTATTTACCAGTTTTGCACTTTTAGCATTAATTTCAGCTTTAAATTTGCTTTAATTTTTATGGTTAACTAACTTTGGCAATAAAAACTCTGGAAGTAAAAAACCTTCGAAGGCAAAAATCTATCTTGTGGGGACTTCCTCCGACAATTGCACAAATTTAGTCATAAATAATGCAAGTTTCCTAATGAAAAATGATTTATCTTTTTTTCTTAGAATATACAAAAAGCTTAATAAGAAACTAACCTCCGGTTTAAGGAAAATGGTCACAAATTAATTATTCTTCGTTGGCACTTTAAAAGTAAATCAACTGCAACTTGAATTAATATGTTGTCTGAAAGAGCCTTCAAAGGTATCAGTAAGAGTCCTTTTATAATTCTTTTGAGATTAACTGCTCAGTTCAGAAAAAGAAACTGCCACTCAGTATTCAGAAACTTCATCGACGACATGTCTAACAATACAACTTGCTTTCCACTGAATAACATTTCAAGCCCTTGTGGGTCGACGAACGAAAGCAAAAATCGTATTCCTTACGCTTATGCTGCGATTCTTCCGAGTACTATCATTATCGCTATATTGTCACCAATTGCGGTGGCTGGTAATTCATTGGTTTTAGCAGCAATATGGAAGCGCTCTTTTCAAAGATCGCCGTTTCATGTCCTTCTGAGTGGAATGGTTGTAACTGACCTTTGCACGGGACTCATTGCCCAGCCGTTCATTGTCGCAACTAATTTACTGTACCTGACAAAACCAACATTCGTGATAAAGCAGCCAGGGCTTTTTCTCGCCATTAAAACAACTGGAGACGCAAGTGCCACATATTCGATAGCCTTCAACTTGTTAATCATAACACTCATGTCTGTTGAGCGATGGCTGCATATGTCTCGCCGATCCTTGGTGATATCCCGTCGAGGACGTTTTACTGCCGTAACTTGTTTTCTCCTTCCAATTCCAGCAGTTGTGTTTCGTTCCATGGAAACTCTTAAACCAGGAACAGGTCAACGACTGTTAAACATGACGATAGTTGTGTCCATGTTTGGTTGTTTTCTAATCACATTTGTTTCTTATGTTAACGTTTTTCGTCTCATTCTACGCCACCAACAACAGATTCAAGTCACTGAAAACTTTGGCCAACCGGCGATAAACTTAGCAAAGTACAAAAAATCCGTGTTCACCATCTTGATTATTCTGGCCTTCTATTGCATTTGTTTCCTTCCTATTACTTTCTCACTTTCAATCCATTTTCAAGTCGGTGATAGTTCTAAAATGGCATTGGCTACAAGTGTATCGTTCGTGTTCTTATTTTTATCTCCTTCGTTAAGTCCAATCCTGTACTTATGTAGAATGAATGATGTTCGTGCTGGGGTAAAAATATTACTTTCGTCTGGTAGGGGATAATGCCAAATCTGACTTTGTCTCAGTAGTCAAAAGAAAAGTCATAATTCGGGTTAACCTGTGTGGAAGTACAAATACAAGGTGAATGTTAATCTATTACAAAGTTCTTGTACGTTAAGTTTCGGGATTAAAGAGATACTTTTGAAAATTTTCAGGGTATAAAAGAATTTGTTGGTTAAGGCTTTCTCAATGTGATACTAAAATCTTTCAATCTAAGGAGGGTGTTAATTCTTGGAAGTTGTCAGGAAATGCATTTATCTATCCATCCAGTTGTGAGGAATTAGATAGGTGATTTAATCAGTAAGAAAAGGGGAAGTAGTTTCAATGAACAGTAATGACCTCAAATATGATTACACTTTAATAGCCTAGTTTGAAATTATTAAAATGATATTTAATTCTCCAAAGTAAAGTAGTCTGACACGTAGGCATAAACAATCCAGTGATAATGCTTGTCGCCCTTCAAACCAAGGGCGAAAACTGATCCGCATAAGAATGGTGCAAAGATGTACCAACAGAAAATTAAACCGTTCAATTTCAGCTTAAGGTACGTGACAGGTACACAAGCTTGATTGATTCGTGGAAAAGAGTGATTGACACTGAGGGCATGCCAATGCATTCGTGAAATTGAGCGCTGAAAGTTCAGTGACAAAAATTTTAATTCCGGCGATCTAGTTTTCCTAAGCTTTTCTTGGTGGTTTAGATGGGAAACTCTAAGGCCGAAATACTCCACTTGGGCATGGAGACAAATTTCAACTTTCCTAATTGACCTTTACACGAGCCTGTCTTATTATAAATGGGGATTTGTTTTTCTTTGTCCAGGAAAGACTCGTCAATTTTGTTTCTCTGAAAAGAAAAAGTTGCAAGAAAACGCATGCAAATGGGGTTTTAAACGTTTTTAGTTAAGCCTTGCTCTGCGTAAGTGGGAACACCTTTTACCTTGTCAAGAAAAAAATTGTCAAGTTTTTCATATTAATCTAGCAATTTTCCCTGAAAGTAAAAACAAAAAAATCTTGCTTGTGAAAACGAAGCTTAAGATTAATGACGGGTCAACTCGAGGTTAGTCACAAATCCGTCTTAAAACTATGCATGATGAACACATTCTCGGTTTTCATATGACGTCACCAACATTCAAACTTATCGATTCTTCCGAGTTTCTACTTTCATGAGTTATTACAGTAGCTTAACACTTTCTTTATTCATACACAATTTTTTGTTCGAAAGGGCTCTTCATTTTGCGCGAGAGGACTCTGGAGGCTAGGAAAGCTCTTAATGTGGGTTGAAAAAGTTAGCAACTTTCAGATTTTGGTATCTTAACATTCCTTGTCTCAGAATAAATGTTACTTTTACCTTTATGAGTTCATCAAGCGATGAATTAACGCATTTGCAGAAACACTCCAAGACAGCTGTTTCTGTTGGTTTTCGGCGGCCATATTTGTGCCCCTCAAAAAGGCACCAACATGGCGTCTCCATACAAAGCCTTATATATTGAGTAAAACGTTTTTCCGAATATCTTGCACAAATGTCGCGCAACAACTTACAACAACTTTACTTCATTTCAAAACCCTTGTTATAAAATAAAATAGAACACAACCCGCAAGTAGCAAAGGCTCTCGAGGCGGGTTGTGTAAACATACATGTAAATAAATAAATAATACATTAATTAAGGTGGCTCGATACAGTTTTTCAGGGCCAGTACCTCCCAAGTTTGAGCATAAACTACGTCGCCATAAACAAAGTTTTGGAAAAATTGCCACCACAGTTGTATTAGATTAAGATGAAAATTTGTTATGATCAGGGTTGCAATGACATCGGAGTTGTCATAGCAACGAAATGACGCTATTACCTATTTTACTTACAGGAGTATATCTCGGCGCTGGGAACTCTTCTTCCAAAATCATTTACGGAAGCTTTTCCCTCCAATAGCCGCCTCGATGTTCCTGAAGTTTAAGCCAAATCTGTAACAGCGTTATCGAGATATTTTGGGATAAAGATTTTGTTGTATCAATAGCAGTGATATATAGATTTAGCCAGGGCTAAAAGCGAAGCTCTCGATAATATTTATATATAAAATCGTGTAATGCTAAGCGGCGAAGGCAACGCCGGAGAAAGGTGAAAAACTGAACAATAGGTCCAATTAGCAAAAAAGGAACTTTGCACGTGCAGCACATTTTTTTTGTACATTTCTTTGCCGTTCTTTTGTACGACTGCAACGTGAAACTTCCAGAAACTTCTTAGTTACACGTTTTACGGACTGAATACGTTTTCTCGTTCACTTTTTTTTTCACTGCTGCTCAGTTTCACCTTGCATTGGTGGCCGCTAGCATTTCTCTTTTTGCCACCACCGCTACAAAATTGTCATGTTATTCTTCCAACAAAAAAATGTCTGCTTTGTTTTTAATCTCTCGCTATAGATCTCTGTCGCCCTTTATCACGTTAACGTTGAGATTCGCTGGCCTGCCGCCTACTTTCTCTTTTTCTCTGTCTTTCTCTTGCTCTATATTCCAAATATGTGGACATGACAATTAATCTAAGCTTAATACTTTAGAAAACACGGATACAGAAACAATTTCCGCTTTCCGTTTTCGTCTTTATTGACTCTTTAATTGTCTCTGCTTCACGATTTCCCGTCAAAATAACCTCGAGTTACATTTGGGTTGTCATACCTGTTGAATGAGTTATTTTACATTGGTATGACTGTGGTGCGGACGGACAGTCGGGCGGTCGGTCGGTGTACGGTCACGTGATTATCAAATTTTCTCGGATGGGTGGGTGGTTTACCACATTTTCTTACTCATGGTGCTCCGCTTCGCGCGCGAGAGCTCCGCTATCAATCTTTTTGAAATTGTGAATGGAAGATTATGATTAGTATGTATCGAGGCGCTCTTGTCAGCGGTTTTTTTAATATTTTGATCTACTTTAACAAATTGGTAAATAATTTTTAAACCGCTCGATATATTTTTTTACAAATTTAAGATTCTTGAGATTAACCTTCCTTTTATATGATCTTCTAGTTTCAAGGTTATTGATATATTGTAAGGCAGTAAAATACCCTTACAAGGGTTTAAAAATAATGAAATATCCTAACATCATGACCCCAAAAGGCGGTCGCGGTCGCTTACGACGCAGGCGTCCGCACATGGAGGTTCGATTATATTAAGCATATTTTTTTTCTTTGGTAAATCTCGGTAATTGAAAAAAATCTAAAGAGTCACGCACTATTATCACTTAAAAAAATTAATTACTCGACGTGTGTTTATACCGAGAGCATGAAGTTGTGGTTTCTGAGCAAGAGCAAGTATTCTCGTTACAGTGATCATTAAATTTATATAATTATAATGTTGGCAGTTCGTGTAAGATATTCAGTAATTAGTTTTATTATCTGTCTTTGAACGTGCAATATCTTTTTAATGAAGTTTTTCTTTAGGGCAATCTTCTTGTGAGTATTAGTTTGTACCACTTCCAAAAATTACAATTACCCATATCAAGCAAAGTCAGTTGAATTCATTAAGCCAGCCAATATCATCAACTGAACAAAGAATCAAACAAACCTAGAATAGCAAATATCAATTTGTGGAATTTAAAAGCAGGATTTATTTTGTTGTAACCTGCTCTTTCTCTCAATATGAAAGGGGTGGTCCTTTATTTTCTTTTTCTTTCCTTTCTTAGGGCATAGTTAATAGATTCGAATGATTGTGAAACCCTTCATACTCCTTTGTTATAGGTTTTTATGGACCTGAAGATGCACAACATTATAAGCATTCCTACCATTTTGATCGCATTGACCAATAAAAACGTCGCATTAATTTATTCCATCACAAACAAAGGATTGCGCACCGTCAGGGAGCTTCCAATATAAACTGCATCACTGTTGTTTTTACATTTGATGTTTGTTGTCTTTCATAACCAGTCTCCTCCAATAACTATGCTGAATTTACTCTTTGAGTCTTTGTGCCTACCTCTGCTTTTTTCTTTCCTCAAAAGAGTTCCGCTTCTCATATTAATCTTTAGTCAGAGGCTTCCGTATCCGTCAAATCCATCAACCAAAAGATAAGCTGCTTTCCATTGAAAAGGGAATTCAACTGCCTACGGGAGTACAACGTGTACTATATTTCTCTACGCCGTTTTAAGGAAGAAAATATGGTACTCGACCCCCAAGGGGCATGGCCAAGTGCATGCAATGGCAGCATCAACCAACACCACTGCTTCCAATTAATTATAAGGTAGTCTATGTGTGTGTTTTTTTTTCCTAATTAATTTGTCTTTTGTTTAAGGAGATGACACACAATTCAGGTAGAATAAAATAAGAAGAAACGTATTGTCAGTAAAGCAAATGTCAAATCTTTCTTCTCTTTTTCTAATAGACGCTATGTGTACAAATTTTTTGTACTGTTAGAATTGAATACTAACCATTCAATCAAGTGCTTAAAAAAGAAAGATAAATTTAGATTGCCTTTTTTCAGTTTTAGCTATCGCGCTAGGGCTTTCTTCGCAATGAATGAGTACAAAGCAAAGGCAATATTGGTGCTTTTCCAGCAGCTGCCAAGTCACGGATTTATCATTAATCCTGATAAAGAACAAAAAAGAGAAGATTGCATTTGGTCCTTTAGTTTTAGCTGAAAAAACTAGAGTACGACCAACAACACATCATCTGGAGGGAAACGTACAGCCGTAACTGCAGCTTTTACATGGACAGCTTTTCCTACTCCATCATTATCGCTGTTTTATGTCCAGTTGCAGTGGTCGGAAATGCTCTGATTTTGGCTGCGATTTGGAAAAAGACATTTAAAAGAACTGCTTTCCATCTTCTTCTGAGTGCATTAGCAATCACTGATTTGTGTACGGGAGTAATAGCCCAACCTCTTACTGTTGCAGCCAATCTTTTGCAAATTGCATCGGACTGCAAATCATATTCACATTGCAGAAACAGGCCAATGATTACTGAAGTAATTGATGCACTTAGTAATACCAGTGCCACGTATTTCTTTTCTGTCACAGCCCTTTTTACATCACTAATGGCAGTTGAGAGATGGTTACACATGACAAGGCGATCCAAGTTGACATCACGTCGTAGATACATTGTAGTTATAGCGATCTTGATCCTTCCATTACCCAAAGCAATTTTTCGTTCCCTAGAATCCGTGGAAAAAGGACGTTCCACACGTTCATCGAATATTGCAATCATAGCTTTGGGAATGGTTTGTATCTTAACCACATTTGCTGCTTATTTTCAAGTTCTTCGAATCATTCGACGCCATCGACAACGCGTTCATAGCAGCATGCGGACTGGCAATTTTGGTCCATCAGCAATAAACCTGGCGAAGTATGAGAAATCTGTGGTGACGATCTTATATATCGTAGGTTTATTTTACTTCTGTTTCTTCCCATATATTGTAACTATTAGTGTGTTTGTTCACTTTGGAAATAATGATTCACGAGAATTATCTGTAGCCTTGCACATCACCACAGTGTTTCTGTTCGCATCATCTTCACTCAACCCACTCCTTTACCTATGGAGAATGAACAATGTTCGTACGGGAGTAAAGCGCTTATGGTTTCGAGGATCCGAATAGCCTTGGCCTAAGAGGCAATGAGTTTCTTAGAGGTGGTTTATTGCATCCCAATTTTGTTGTTTCAAGTTATAAATAAAAATTGGTCCTGATAAACCGTTGTTCGTGTACATGAAACACCAACATTAACAAAGACACAAAAGACATCAAAATGTCATTCGATATCATTTTGAAGGCAACTGATTTTCCAGCTTCGTTGCAGAGTATTAAATAGACAACAATGTTAGTAATCTTTGTTACTTTAAACCACTGACAGAAAAGTTACGGAATGTGCGCGTTTTCACATCAACACACTCGTTGCACACAAACCAAAAACCACTCTACGACGACTAGCCTGTTCCAGGAGTGCGGCGCGAGGGATTTCTGCTCATATCTCTTTGCGCTGTCCCCACGATATGAACGCCTGGAACAGGCTATCAATTACGACGAGCGTTTATGAATGTCAAGGGCCAAGACAAACCGGATGAAAGACAGGGAGCAGTATACTGACAACATCAAATGCTGGGACTGCCAGGCCACTTGCACTACTGAGACCGGCAGAAACTTTAGAACGCAACTGACTGAACACAAACAAGCGACAAGAAATGGTGATGTCAACAAACGTATTGCTGAACACCATTTACAGGTGAAAAATTAAACTGACTGCGATTCTGTGGCATGTTACGTATTCTACAGACTACTATCACCGACTCACTTGAGAAAGCTGGTTTGCTAACTTAGAACAACACCACTGATCACCGCAGCTAACAGTTACCGGCACTGTGCAAAACTGACAACGATGAAGTAACTGAAAATTAAAAGCAATTGAAAGCCTTTTGATTTATCCGTCCGTTAAACTGTGACAAAAGACGGCCGGATCGAAACGCATCAATCACATTTAGAATCTTCTTACCCAATAACGTCACGATTTAACTAAGTCTTACAAACAGTTTGGTGTCTTAGGTAGGCCCAGTGTGACTTTTCAAGGCCCCGGTTATATGAGAAATGATTTCCCGGGTTGAAGGACCACCCGCCTTATGACCCGAGCTACCTTGGGCGAGCCGGCTTTTCATATATTTCTTTACTCTGCGTGGCGGACCGTTTTCACGTAAAAAGAAAACGCTGGCTCGGCTAAATAGTATAGGGTCACCCTCCTAGCTTGGCCAACTTTTCTTCATATAAACATTTGGCTAACCCAGCCGGATCAATTCGGTCAAGGCGGTTTAACAATCAGAGCATGCACGAGCGCTGTTTTAGACAATCAGAGCATGCGCGAGCGTGTTGGCTCGGCGGGGAGGGTGACCTTTCTACGCGGGACAGGTTTCTCTGAAAACAGGGCGTGACAACATCGATAATTGCAAAGAGCCACGCCCGTGCGTAAATAAATAAAGATTTTCTTCATGATAACGTGTTCAGTTGTGTCTAAGAAACTTGGATTTTTGTCGCTTTTTCTCAACTAAGTGCCCAATAATCGACGGCAATGGTAAAGAACTTTCCAGCTTCTAGTCACTCAAAGCAGCAGCAGGAAAGGGCGAAATCCCTGCGGGGGCAAAAAAATGAAATGAAAAAGAGCTATTGCACACAATGGCAGCAGCATGGCCAACACCGAGGGATCAACTAATTATAACTTAGGCTGTCTTTCTACTAAATGAACAAAGAAAATGTCCCTTGTTTTGGCTTCTTTACTTTTATTTTTATTTTAATTATTTTTATTTATTTATTTATTTTTTTGCATTATTAGATTCACTGAATACGAGATCCATCATACTTAAGCCATCCAATCAAGTGCTTTTATTCTATATTTATTTATTCGTATAACAATTAAGTTTACGTTGTATTACCTCAGTTGTAAAAAAGGCTCTCCCCAGAGAATGACTACATAGCAAAGAAATATTGGCGCTTTTCCTGAAGCTGCTGCAATCATGGATCATATCATCAACCCTTCAACGAAAACAACTTGAAAATCATGAGGAAAATTTGATTGTATTTTTCCCTTTTTGGCTGATACTCAATCATTGCAGCCTCTTGGAGCCATTCATAAAAGAAAGACAGAAATAAGGGGAATGACCAACAACACGTCCGTCGTCTTTCAAATTAAGGCTCTGGCGAAAACCTTTGAATTTAAATGACTGTCCTCTATTGGGCTGCAATTTTTATTGCGAACCTTTCTGTCTCTGATCCTGGACGTATAATTGTTGCATTATTTTATTTATTTAGACCCAGCAACCTGACTTCTAGAATTTAGTTTGAAATAGTTCTGCTGGGTCCTTATTTTATCGTCGGTTGTAACAGTATTGAAAACATTAGAAAATTAACGATAAATATCGCTCCTTTCTGCTACCACTAGGAAAGGAGACGTCAGTTCCTGCCAGCAAGCGTAGGTTAAAGTGCACCTCTTTCCTTCGCCAGTTGTAACTACAGAAATTTCTACCTCGGCCTCTTTGTAAGTCGTCTTTTTCGTTGACTAGCGGGTGTAATGGCCTTACGTCCTCTCTTTCCATCTGCTTCCTTTACCAAGAAGTGACCGTGACGTCTTTTACCATGCCTGGAGCACTTGTTTCCTTTTCTAGGATTTCCGCAGCTGTGGAAACTCATAAAAAAGTGGTGATGTTTTGAAGACATGAACTCAGTGTATCCATTGCTTGCTTCTTTCTGAAGAAATTCACAGCTTTTATCTACGATGGGTCCCATTTCCGAAGTGTTTGATTAAAAAGTGTAAGGTATAGGCTGCATTCATTATGTATACTGCAGGGGGGGGGGGGGGGGGGAGGGACAGAAGATATTTTGAAAGGAGGAAAATTTTTCAATATTCCCCCCACACATCATACAGAATTTTTTGACAACCCCCCTCTTGACCGAAATAAAAATTGACATCCCCCCTCCACCTGGTCTTGACAAGGACAGTAAAATATGGGCAATATGATGAATGGTGAAGAGATTAATGTTTCAAATAGAAAACTAAAAACAAAAGGTTATGAAAGGTTCAAAGATTTTTGTGTTTCTGGTTTACAGAAAGTTGTAATTAATAAAGCTAGCTGTGCCTCCGACTGGGAAATTGCATACCGGGGCCATACAATCATACCAAGATAGGTTAAGTTTAGGACCTAGACTAGCGAAGAACAAGAAAACAAACAAACAAAGAAGCCAACAAAAAGGCTGGTGAAAAGCTACACAACTGGTGTTCAAAGATATTGAATGGCCTGATCAGTTAAGCACGAAAAGAAAAAGGAATTGCAAGTCAGCGTACCTCTGAGGAAAGGTCAGTCCACATACTTTACATTTAGTGAAATACAAATCTCTCCAAAATAAGAGATGGAAGTTAATTCACTGTTTTTAATTATTAGGCCAAATTAATTGCTAGAACATTGCATCACCAAGAGAGAAAAAGAAGCATTGGGTCAAAATTTACCTTGCTTCAAGTTTAATTTCCTTTTACCAGCGAATGGTAAGGACTATGAAAATGCGTTTTTACAATAAAGAACATACTTTGATCAGTGCCATTATGGGTGCATTCCTATGGGATGATCCGGATCAGGATCAGTGATCTGAGATCACTCGGATCATGGTAGATCAAATGAACCGATGAATCCACTATGAACAAGGATTCATCGGTTCATTTGATCTACAATATATGATCCGAGCGATCTCGGATCACTGATCCTGATACGGATCATCCCAAAGGAACGCACCCTATGCCTACTCCACAAAAAGCTTCACTGGTTAAGTACTGAAAACAACGGGATCTTTTGACTCAAACAAGCATATAATTTTGTCAATCAGCTACCGATTGTGGCTTATTAGAAGGAAAGCTTTCTACAGACATTGTATTCCTCGTTCGATATCCATAACTGACACCGCAATAGTAAGAAATTTATATCCTGAGAAATTCCATCCTTGATGTAAAACAAAGGTTATTTTAAGATTGGCCGATTTGTTGATCACTTTTGAATATAGAAACGTGCTCGAACTGTAGTCAAGTACTTCATTCTGTTTGCAGCATTACAGCAGAGCCAACATACCAAATATTATTGATCATTTGCATTCCTTCTAAGTTACAAGTTAAATTTAAATCTTGCGAGCATGGAAGCTGAAGACTTAATCATGACATTACAAGCTTTGAAAGTGAGCTAAAGTGAGAAAGGTGGGTTAATTTTGTTGATAATGGTGATGATGATAATGATGACAATGATGATGAAGATCTCGAGAATGAAAAAAATCTGTGATGTTATGAATAAAAGCAGGATAAAAGTAAAGGTGATGATTATGTAGATAGAGCTGGTTACTGCACAAAGTAAAAGACATTGCAGCTTAGTGCATTGATAATAAAATTATCCTTTCCTGAACTGGAAAATAAGAATTTTCACTTGTGTACGTAGTAGTTTATTAATAATGTTACAAATACTTTTAAGTCTTTCAATGGCATCTAAAAAAAATTGGCATCCCCCCCTTCCTTCCCTCAGAAATTTTGGTCATCCCCCCTATCCCTGCGCACCTCAGCTCGGCTTAGTGCAAGTGTAATCAAGTCATTCATTTAAATTTATTTTATTATGCCACTTACAACAACATCTTTTTAAGAAGAAAACAGTGAATACGTCTTACCCGGATGACTACTTTTCCTTTGTTGTTAATGCAAAGAGACAGGTTTGTGTTCTCCGCTTGAATCGTTACCTATCCAAAGGCGGTTGTCTTAAGCAAAAGTCTCGCTACAGAGAAACGAAAAGTTTTAGTAAATGTTTTTTTTTCCCGTTGGTTCCTTGGTAAAAAGAGCGATATTCTTCGCCCCCGTAAAAGTAAAATATGAAAAATAGAAAGAAAAAAAAAGAAAGAATCCTCGTTATGGGAAACATATTTGCCAGTTCCTTGGTCCTATAGAGTGTTGTCACATGACGTCACGGCGGCCATATTGGTGTCCCAAAACAATGAGACGGCGGCCATGTTGGTCTCCCAAACCAATCCTGTGGGAGTTGAGTTCCTTTCTAGACTTTCACTTCAACAGCAACAAGAGAATAACCGGAGCGAACCAA